CCCCAAAACCCCAAAACCCCAAAACCCCTATTTTTTAATTCGTTGAAATTTTTATATTATTTTGGTAAAATGGGTTAAAAATTGCTAAATTTCTTCTCAAATTCAGGAGAAGCACATTCCTTCGTGCTGAGACCTGCCTTCTGGTCAAATTCATACAGAGGGTTTTTATAAATCTCTAATTTTTTATCATTCTTGAAGTATTCTAGTGAGAACTCATCCTCCAAATCTGGGACAAAGGGTGGAGATACCTTCCTGTTAGAAAGAGCTTCCCAGTCTATATTTTTAAAGAATAAGTGCTCTTTTATGGAAGTTAAGGGCAGCCTCATCTCTGGCTCTCAAACCAGCATCTGGGAAATCAAATCTTTTGAAATTTTATCAATGTTTCTTGGCCAAGTTATATTCAGTTTTAAGATGTTCTCATACAGTGTCTGAGGATCAGGAGAACGGAAAGGACTAAATCCTCCTATCATTTCTCATAACAGAACACCTAGAGACCAGATATCTGACCGAAGGTCAGATCCTACTCCTCTGATCACTTCTGGTGAGAGGTAATTAATAGTTCCTCACTTAGTCTTTGTCTTGCTTGTGTCGTCTTGCAGCTGCTTTGCGAATCCAAAATCAATGAGCTACAAAAGTTAGCCTTAAATTGTACCTTAACATGACCATCTGAGGCTATAAGGATATTGTCTAGCTTGATGTCTCTGTGGACAATATTATGCTTGTGTAGTTCCTCTAGGTATAACTACAATACTTACCAATTGCTAGGATAACTTCCGAAAAGTAAAACCTGACCTTTTCAAGAGAGGCAAAAGCAACATTTTTGGTAAGGTCATGAAGGTCTCCTCCGGGTAGAAACTCCATGACAAAGTACAGGTCTTCTGTGTTTTGAAAAGTATCATATCACTGGATTAAGAAATCTCTGCTGATTTCTTTATTAAGGCAGATCTTCTTTTCATTTTTCAAATGCTCTATTTGTTTGTCTTTCATTAACTTAATTTGAGGTATTTTCTTAAACACAAAAGGCTTCTGTGTCCGAATGTGCTTTACAAGCTCGATGATGCCGAATGAGCCCCTGGAGATAGTGGCAATTTGTTCAAAATCTTCGTATTTATGCACACCTTTGGCTGATCCTTTATTCTCTTCTTTCGCAATACTAGTGTCTCTCTCATCAGGACCCTCCACAGCAGTGAGATTGAGGATATCTTTCTTCGAATTATTCTTAAAATAATCTTTTAACTTTATCTGAGACTTTTTGAATGCAGGGCTTTCTAAATTAGTTATCAGAGAGAGCTTACTAAATCTCCTGATCCTGGTTGGACTCGCCCTATAATGAGGCTGACTCTTTCTCTCGACTCTAAACTTTGACAATGACTTCCTTCGTGGTTTTGGCAAATAATAGCAATCTTGTTTACTAAAAATTACTTTGAGAGAATACTTTATTTTGGAATCAAGGTCTTTTGAAAATTTCTTCTTTATCATTGAAAGATTCCTCTCCCGGTTTGGATTATCAATCTTTGAACTTTCTGGAATTCCTCCTGAAGCAAGATGACGGATACTCTCTGAGTTGTCGGCTTGGGTTTCTACATTAGAAATTAGCACACTTTGGAGATCCTACTTGTAATGTTTGGGAGAGTGAGATCAGATTCAAGCTTCTGAGGTATTTTCACTAGCTTTAAGTTATTTCTCTGATTTTCTTTGACTAAATTCTCTGCTCCCCCAGACTTAATGTATACTGAACGATTGGGGCTTGACGATTTGCACTCTCTGACAAAATCAGAGATATTGTTCTTATCAATCACCACTTTATTTGGCGATTTTCTTAAGGATTCACATTTCTTTGCTGTCGATACTTTAGTAATAGCATTATTTCTGACTATTTTCTATCGATATGTTTTTATCACTCAGCGAAGCGTTGTCAGAAGGCTTGCAAGCATTTTTATTATGAGAGTAATGTCTTGAGTTAACCCTATGCTTTACTTGAAACCCAGCAGAATGAAGGTTCTTCGATGTGTAGTAATTCATAGGCTGCCTCAGACCTTTACCTTTGTATTTTTCAAGCATCTTTGTCTTTTCTTGATCATGCTCTATGCAATGTTCTGAACAAAATTACTTTTGATGATATTCTCGATGCTCTTTGGAAAATTTAGCCCTTCACTGAAAGATTAATAAGGATATTTACCTGTTGAGGTGATTGATTTCTTCAAGATTTTCTTCGCGTTTCATCTTTTTTAGATTTACAGAAGAAGCTTGATCTTTAGAATCGAATCAGAAGCTATCTGGCTTTACCTTTGAGTCTTTAAGATGCTTCACAGGTTTCTTGGGTGATACACTATGGTGAGCCTGCCTATAAGCTCTCGCTCTCATTGACTTCTGTATATTCTTTGAATTGAGAATATAAGCATAGCTATCCAGGTTCTTCTGAAATCTCTTGTTCCCCTTATTCTTTGACTTAGAGTTTTGGTTCCTGTTTAGTCACAAGAGAGTCTTACTTGAAATCGATGAGGGAAGCATCCTTGGTGATATTCGGGAAGTTTACATATGGTTGGGCGCTTGATTTGGTTAGGTTGTAGCTAATCTCCTTATTTTAGCTGGTCTATTTTCTTCTGGTAGAAATTGTTATATTCTTCAAACTTGTCACCCAGCTTATTGTAATTCTTCTTTGAAAAGTTGTCTGTAGTATGTTAATTTTATAGTTCAGGAAATCATCGGTTGTTTATAACTGAATGTAAATTTACATGCTCTTTGATTTTTATATATTGGGTGAAATTAATTGCGTAGGAGTTCATCACATTACCGGTTGTAAGTTATAGAGTTAGTTATTTGTAAATGTTGGTGGTTTAAAAATTTTAGAGTGTAAAATATCCGAAGAGAACTCGTCTGATTTCAAAATAATTCTAAAGTATTTAAAATAGTAAAATACCCCCTCTAACTATTTTCTTTAAAACCCAGTTAATTTTACATTCAAATCCGAAACAGTTAATTTTAATTAAAAATTAACATTTTTCTCATATCCAAAAGCCCATATAGCTCTTTTTCCTCTAACAAAGCCTTAAAACTACTTATTCTCCCCATAAATCTTCTCCTAATTTAACTTACTCTTCATATTCATCTTGTAAAATTCCATATTTTTCTTTTTCATTGCTAAATTACTTGTTATTAATTTTAATATTTGTTTTGTAATGGGGTTTTGGGGTTTTGGGGTTTTGGGGTTTTGGGG